TTTTTCCTTCATCTATCACAATGTTGCCAGTGGTGAGGATTTTTGTTTTCTTGATGTTGAAGTATAATCCATAATGAAAGTTGTCACCTTTTACCCTCTATAGTAAGTACTCCAAGTCTTCACTTTCTCCAAGATTGTGTCAACTGTAATGCAGGTTGCTGACAGTCTCCTTTCTTGATGTCACATTCTTCTTCAAAAAGTGCAGCTTCTCAAAGTATTTGTTCAGCATACAGACTAAGCACAGAGAAAGGATATTACCCTGATATATACATCTTCCTTCATTTTAAACCCATTTTCTGTTCAGAGAAAAGTATTATAACAAAATGTGCAGAGTACTTCAGTTAGAAAACCAGAAGAGAATAACACTTTGGAATTTCTCAAGTTGAAAGAATTTAAGAACAAATTTATGCGTAAAATTGCAATACTGAAAGAATTCTATGGGCACAATCTTGAACGATTCAGGAAACATCAAAAGGTGGAAGGAAAGCACGGTCCCTGTTCCAGAAAGAACTGGTCTACACTGCACAAATTCAAGTAGCACATGAGCAAAAAAACACCGACAGAGATAAATGGAGAAGTCTAAGCTTCACTGAAGACACTGGTAAAAAGGTAAGATCCCAGGAATTGACAGAATACCAGTTAACACATTTCAACACAGATGAAGCACTGACCATGTTCACTGAACAGGCTAAGAAATTTGGAAGATAGTTATCAACCAGGCCAAATGATTAGAAGAGATCCAAAAAAAGAAGATTCAAAACAATGCAGAAATGATCGAATAATATCACAAGTAAGTGAAATTCTGATGAAGATTATTGAAAATTGGATAGAATAGTGTATCAACAGAGAACTACCAGAATCCAAACAAGCTGGATTCAGAAGAGGCCACAGAAAGAGGTACATCACTGCTGACATCAGATGGATCTTGGCTGTAGGCAGAGACTACCAAAAAGATGTTCACGTGTGTTCTTCTGATTATTCAAAAGCATTCTGGCTGTATGGATTTTAACAAACTATGGACAGGAAAATGAGGATCCCAGAACTCTTAACTGCGCTCATGAAAAACTTACACATGGACCAAGCAGCACATATTCATACAAAACAAGAGAACACTACTTCAACATAGTTTAGAAAATTAGAGAGTATCAATTGAATTCACATCCATTTTAACCCATTCCATTGTTCTTTCCTCCTTTAGAGATATTCTCTTCCAACATTCAATTTTAAGAAATTTCTTCAACCATTCTTTTAAGGTTAGTCTGTTGACAAGAATTCTTTTCCTTCATCTAAGAATATTCAGATATTCCTGTCATACTGTAGCATACTTTCATTAAACAAATTTCAGAGGAGATAGCATTATTTGAAAAGAAAATTTTACTTTCTGGCTGCCATTTTTTCTAATGAAAAAATCTATTTACTGAACTGCTTTCTTCCTCTAATACTGTATCACTGTTTCCAACAAGTTTTAAGTTTCATTTTTTATTCTACAGATTCTTTGGGACTTGGGGTTTATTTCAGAATCTACAGGTTTGTATAAACCTACAAAGACCTGTGACAAGTTTCCATTGGGTTCTTTGTATCTCCTATTTGTTTCACTTTATGTTTACAATTGCTCCTTGAACCTACAAGGAGGAGGAGATAAAGTAGATGAATGGGATCTTCTAAGAATCAAATCCCAAAGCACATCCAAAAACATCTCCAACAGGGCAAAAGAAGAAGCCACCTACTGGGAAAAAGCATTCAGTAATAACATATCAGATAAGGGACTTATATCCAGAATTTATAAAATACTTGAGCACCACAACAAGATAAAGGTAAATAATCGAAAAGAAAAATGCGCAAAGGATATATGACGCCATTCAGATGGCTAACAAGTACATGAAGAAATATTCAAAATCCCTAGCCCTAAGAGAGATGCAAATTAAAACAACTATGAGATATCATCTCACCCCAGTCAAAATAGCAAAATTTAACAGAACAGCAAGCAACAAATGCTGCTGAGGTTGTGCAGAAACTGGAACCCTGATTCACTGTTGGTGGGAGTGCAAAATGGTACAACCCCTGTGGAAAGCAGTATGGCGCTTTCTCAAAAAGTTGCAAATAGAGATACCATTTGACCCAGCAATTCCACTACTGGGAATATACCCTGAAGAGACCATAGCTGACATCCAAGCAGATATATGCACACCCATGTTTATTGCAGCTTTGTTCACAATAGCAAGGAGTTGGAAACAACCTAAGTGCCCATCAACAAGTGAATGGATAGAGAAGCTGTGGTATATTCACACAATGGAATACCATGCTGCATTGAAAAACAAGGAACTCATGCAATATTATTCAAAATGGTTGACTCTATGCTGAGTGAAGTATCCCAGTCACAAAAGGACAAATATTGCATGGTGCCACTGTTGTAAAAGAGGACTGACCTTGGGGATGGGGAAAGACTGAGAAATGAGAAAGATGGGTTCAATAATGTATACTGCACTGAAACAGAAGAGGGAGAAAACGATTTAAAAGGATGTGTGATTAAGTATTTCTGTCATACATCCAAGCAGATATATGCACACCCATGTTTATTGCAGCTTTGTTCACAATAGCAAGGAGTTGGAAACAACCTAAGTGCCCATCAACAAACGAATGGCTAGAGAAGCTGTGGTATATTCGCACAATGGAATACTATGCTGCATTAAAAAACAAGGAACTCATGCAATATTATTCAAAATGGTTGACTCTGGAGAACATTATGCTGAGTGAAATATCCCAGTCACAAAAGGACAAATATTACATGATGCCACTGTTGTAGAATGGGACTGTCCTTGGGGTTGGGGAGAGACTGAGTAAGATGGGTTCAATAATGTATACTGCACTGAAACAGAGGAGGGAGAGAACCGTCTAAAAGAGAGATGTAACTGGGTATTTCTGTCATCACAGGAGACTAGAGCGAGGGCTGCATGGTGGAGGGGACCTGGGGGAGGGTTTGTAAAACAATGAAAGAATCTTTTCTTTTACTTTTCCATAATTTTTGGACTCATGTACTTATAACTTGTTAGTCAAATTTGTCTTCTAGGTTGCAACACCCCCATGATACATCTTGAAGGATATGTACATGTACAGCCAAGCACAATCAATAAGAGTGCATCTGAATTCCAAAATCAATCTCCATAATAGTCTATGTGTTTCCTACTGCCAAAGGGGCCCTTTAGAGTAGTGAGAGAAGATCTTCACCCTGAAACCCACAGCGTCCCTTTTCAGCAGGAAGTAGCTAAGAGAATACGCCGTCCCCTTTTCCTTATGACTCAGGGTGAAGTCTCTCTCAGGGAGGAGTGATAGGGAATGGCAAAGGATACACTGACAAAGAAGATTAATCAGAACTGGCTTTGACAAGCACTGTGGCATTTGGACAAGAACAAACTGGGAGGAGGGTAGAGAGAATAGTGCAACAATGAATGAGTGGAAGCCCAAAATCTCTGTAAATGTTTATGAAAATTAATAAAATATAATTATAGGAAAAAAAAAAAGTATTTCTGTCATGACAGAACTCTAGAGCGATGGCTACATGGTGAAGTGGACCGGGGGGAGGGTTTGTAAAACAATGAATTTTTCCTTTACTTCTCCAAGAGGGTAGTGTTCTGGGGGGGAGGCTTGGGAGGACAGAAACGTTCAACAATGAATGAATGGAAATCCAAAGGCTCAGTAAATTTTTACTGAAATTAATAATAAATTTAAATTAAAAAACAAAAAAACCCAAACAATTGCTCCTTGAAAAACTTTTATTATACTGTCACATAATCTTAGTATTTCTGGTTTGTTTGTATTTTTATCCTTTTATGCAGTTTCAGATCTTCCTGATTCTTGATTCACTGAGTGGTTTTCTATTGAAATGTAGACATTTTAAGCACACCGGTTCTGAAACTATTTGAGCTCAGTTGTAGCACCAGACATTGCCTCATTACTGACAAGTGGAAGTAAACGTTCCTGCTCTCTCATGGCTTAATGTGCTGGGTGAGGGATGAGAGTTCCTGCTTCTCCCTTTGTTTCCACAGATTTCTTCTTGGATGTGAGAGATAGAAGTATGTGGTTACCTTGGTGCTGGTGACATATAAGCTTATTAGCATTTGGTACAGGTGAAAACTTCTGGAAATATTCCAACAAGAGAGGGAGGCTTTTATCACAAGGTGGCAGTGGAAGTAGAGCAGCATCCACTGACATCACAGAGGGTTGAAGTCTCGGCTCCCTATCTGGTCTTCTCCATGACCACTAAGGTGGTAGGCTCTTAAGGGTCTTGAGTTCAGTGGAATCTAGACTCTTCAATTAGCTTCCCCTGCTGTGAGCAGGGATGAAGCTCCCGCTTCCCCTGTGTATAGCAGTAAATGACCTCAAAGTTTTCTGTCTTGAGAGGCTGCCACTTTCATGGACGTCTTGCTGGGAAAAGCAGGATTTTATGGGACTTTTTTTTTGTAAACCTGTTGGCATTTCCAGGACACCAGTTTTTTTACAACTTCATGCAAAGGAGGTAAGAAAACCCGGAGAACTCACCACTGCTCTGTTACTTTTTCTCAAAATCTGTTCTACCATCCAGAGTTTTCTTATGCTTTTCCTTCTTTTTTTCCCTACTGTTGTTTTACTGCCTTTTAATCTCCTCTTTTAGATGTAACTCCCCAAAAAAGAAACAGGGAGAAGCTTCTCTATTCCATGCTTTTAAAAGTGCACTCACTCAGGATGGTCAGTCAGAACTGACTCACTAATGTTTCAGCAGATTTTAGGGAAGAGCTAACTCCCACGTGAGGATCCCGCCCAGCTGTCTCCTAGGGAGCCACTAGTGGACATAAAACACCAGAGAGAGATCACATTTGGGTGAACAGCACCACTACTTTTGTGGGTTCCTTCTGAGGACAATTACAAAAAAATTTCCAGATGTACCAATTCCTTTATCCTTTAAAGATATCCATAAACTTATGTGTAACAATGGAACACAAAGCATGAAGTTTATTTGCTCTTACCTTGCTCATTGCCATTTGCAGAAATGTTAAGATTGACATATGCACAAGCAGGACCAGGCAAATATGATCCTACAGTGAGTGTAATTTCCAGGTCAGACCCCTTTAACTGAACATATGAAAATACATGATCAAATACAACATCAGAAATGCAGTGAGCCACACAACAACAAATTAACAGCATAAAAGAATAACTACATGCAATTTTGTGAACATAATCTTATCAATGGAATAATTAAGAGCTACATTCCCTCTCCCTATTTTTTCCCTCCATGTACCCTGTTATTTAAAAAGAGGGAAAAAAATTTTTTTTTCTCAGATTCTGTAAGGATATACACATATCTGTCTAAAATTCAAACAAAATTTAAAAACATTAAGACAGAAAAGCAAACTTTCCAATATGTTGTTTTGACCAACTGACAATGTCAATGTTTCCTATTTGGCCCACAATAAAGTAGGAGCAAGAAAAGAAAGTGACCAAAGCAATGATACAGTAAAGGATTTTTCTCTCTGTTATAAACACAGGTGCTGTGGTGGACTGCTTTGTAGGGTGCTGTCCTCAGGAGAAACATCGATGCTGCACTACTAACCAGAGCACTGTGCTTTGCTAGTGGGCACCACTCATCAAAAGTCCTAAGGAGAAATATAGGCACTCTCCTCCTCATAAGACTTAAAGCCATGAAGGGTCACTAGCAACTGAAATCAGCTTGAAGACAGTGACTGAGGGAGGGAGGTACAGACTACTGCCTTCAGCATTATCTTCCAAGTGCTGGAATTAGGCATTCTTGGTTACACTTTAAATCCCCAGATATGCTAACAGAGAATGCCACCATAATTTCATATGCAACCTATCACTATAAGATTGCCATGAATCAAAGTCAAAAGCAACTAACTTTTTTTCCCAAAGAAAAGCAACTAACATAATAATATATTTATTTTCAAGTCAACTGTTGTTTGACAAGAATTAACAGAATGCCCTATACTGACTTATATGATTTAAAAAAAAACCCAAAAACCACCACCACCACAAACAAACCAGGAGCCTCGAGTCATCTCAACTTCTGGTAAATCTTATGTACCCTCTTGGCAACTCCTTTCCCAAGAGAAGTGCTGCTGTGTACAGATCAACATTCCCTCCCAGGCCCATCTTTCAGAAACTTTCTCTAACCATTATTAATGCTTGTCCTGATTAATAATTTAGGACTAAATATTACACTATTCCTATTGAAGGATAGAATATCAAAAGGTGACTACGCAGACTTAAAAACTCATTTTTAAAATCTGAACAGTTAAAAAGAACTAAGAACTCACCTGTGTGTTTTCTTGAATAAGGATTTTCTCTGATGTGGGAACTGGGTATGGTCTCAAAGGAGCCTTTATGGTGGCAAATATAAAATCTGTGTGGGTTTCAATAACATTATTCAGATATTGTCCTTCTGACTTGACTTTATAATACACCGTTACTTCATCAGCTGGAACCAGACTACACTAAAACAACAAACAGAAAATTAGAAAAGGAAACACATTGTGTTAATCAAAACAAAGACTGGGCAATCCTTTAAATTAACTATATGACTGTACATTATCTGATTTTGTTCCTATCTCTCATCTTTTAAAGACAGAGAATGTGTTTTTTCCTAACAAAAGCAGTATCTTATTTGATGAAAGAAAAAAAATTAACTGAATAACTGAGAGTTGACTGCAGTGTCAGCCAATTATCTGTTAACACGGTCTCCTTAAACCCTCAAGCACTGGTCTCAGACACTGCGCACATGTAGGAAGACAAGCTGCTTTTAACTGCTGACTCCCATCTAGAGATAGAAGCGCACAGGCTCTCTCATTTGCAGACACAGGGCTGCACCTTTATTCTGCAGGCCTATAGATTTGTTGCAGCCTAATCTGATGCCCAGCATGCCAATGCTATTAAAAGTTCATTATTTTCTTCCCTGGGCTAGGAGATTTTCCCTGTGGACTTTTCCAGATGACAATTACTGTCATCTCCAATTTTTTGTGCCTTAATTATAATATAACTGTACCAATAAGAAGAGCTACCTCTTAGCACATGATTTTGTGAGAGACAGGGAATTAAGAAAGGCAGGGAAGAGAAACAGCTCCGATGAAATAAAAAGTACCCAGCTGATAACTGAACAAGTATGGGCTGAAAGAGGCCCTAAAGAGCCAAATCTGAATGGATTTGCTTAGTAAGACCATTACTCTACCCCCATGGTTTATGCAAATGGCCACGTCTATTTTCCAATCACATGACAAACAAAAAGACCTCACTAGACTCTTTATCTGAAGAGCAGCTTGTAAAAGGATATAGCTGCTACCTGGTCAGTCCCAATCTCTTTCTCTTCCACTTACACAGGTAGAGGATATAGTTAGGGAGATCAAGAACAGATGCATCAAAGTGAAGAAGTCCCTTCCTTAGGAACGCAGGGGATTCAAACCAAAACCAACCTCACAGGTCCATAGGCAGGGTCTGCGCTATGACCAGCTGCAGGAAACTGGGAGCCAGTAAAAAAAATGCTCACCTGAAGTTGCTCTCTCTTCCTGGCAACATGCCCCAAGGCATGGGTCCCTCCCTGCCTTTCCAGAGTGTTTTTCCCCCTTTTGATACTTTTCTCTTTAACTCTTCCACATGGCTTATCTATCTTTCACCAATCATGTCTCCTTTGACTACCTTTTTCACTGATTTTGATAGATTACCACTATGTATGTATGTTTACTTATTTGCAGTCACCTCAATTCAACTTCTCGCAGGAAATATTATCAAGTGGTAAAGACATAAACATAAGGTTTCACTGACCTTCTTGCGGAGTTTCTGGATGCGATTGATGACCTCTCGAGCCATACCTTCATCAACCATTGACTGGTCAGGAGTGACATCTAAGAGAACTAATGCCTGAAAGAGCAAAGGATGCACACCAAGATAGTGAAGTCAAAATGTCCTGTTCAGACTTAGTTCAAACATTATACTATTTAAGAGTAAACACTGAATCAATGACCTGACTTCATGCTTAAAGAGACAGAAAAAGATAACACAAACACAACAAACCCTAAAGCTAGAGCTCTCTCTGACATTGCTGCTGAGTCAGAAATGACTCCCGGCTGATTCTCCAGTGGGGTTTTGGAGGCTGTAAATCACATGTGGAAGAGGTTGCCAATCTGAGCTGCAGACAGCATCACACAGCCCGAGAAGGGCCACCTTTCAATCTCCAGTGAAACTCCAGGGATTACACGTGAACCTAAAGTGACTCTTTGACAAGATCAAGAAAACAAAATATTTAGCTAGAATGAATAATATAAGTGAAAACACAAATACCAAAGCTGAAAATAAACCTGAAGACATGATTATTAACCAAAAAGGAATAAAAAGAGTTAAAAGAATATATAAAATGGACAAATTCAGGAATCCAGCTAAAAGACACAAACAGACCAAAATAAAGAGACTAAATCAGTAATCAAAAATCGTGACACAGGACATAGACACTGTTCTGCTGAACATAAAGATGTCATGGGTAGGAGGTAACCCAATGGCAACTAAGAAAAACAAGAGGCTAGCTTAAAAAAAATAACATGCTAGACTCCTTCAACACATGAGTGGATAAATACAATGTGGAATATGCATAAAATGAGAGAGCTCTGGTGGCTCCCTGCTGGTCAACACAGATATACAATTCAAATCCACAGAAGAAACATGGTCAATCTTCTCCTTTGAGATTGACACCCTCTGAAAACTCGCTGGAGGGTCAGCTACAGGTTGGGTGTGACTCAGGGACTCAACAAAAAGAACATGCATAAAATGGGTTATTCATCAAAACAACTATGAGATATCATCTCACCCCAGTCAGAATTGCAAAATTTAACAGAACAGCAAACAACAAATGCTGCCGAGGTTGTGAAGAAACTGGAACTCTTATTCACTGTTGGTGGGAGTGTAAAATGGTGCAACCCCTGCGGAAAGCAGTATGGCGCTTTCTCAAAAAGTTGTAAATAGAGATACCATTTGACCCCACAATACCACTACTGGGAATATACCCAGAAGAGACCATAACTGACACCCAAGCAGATATATGCACACCCATGTTTATTGCAGCTTTGTTCACAATAGCAAGGAGTTGGAAACAACCTAAGTGCCCATCAACAAGTGAATGGCTAGAGAAGCTGTGGTATATTCGCACAATGGAATACTATGCTGCATTAAAAAACAAGGAACTCATGCAATATTATTCAAAATGGGTGAGCCTGGAGGACATTATGCTGAAACATCTCATTCGCAAAAGGACAAATATTGCATGGTACAACTGCTGTAAAATGGGACTGATATCAGGGTTTGGGGTAAGGCTGAGAAAAACTGGATAAACTGTGTATACTGCACTGAAACAGATGAGGGAGTGAATAATTTAAAAGCGATGTATGATAGGGTATTATGGTTATTATAAGAGTCCACAATTAAGGTTGCATAGTGGAATGTACTTGGGGTGGTGGGAGGGGTGCGGGGGGATTGTGTACCAGGGAAGGAGTGTTTCATTTACTTTTAAAAGAGGAGCGAATTGGGGGTAGGGGGGCGGGGGGCGAGGGCAGGGCGGGGAGAGAAGTGAGAGTTATAAATTTGTTTTAAAAAAAAAAGTTTAGGGGAGCTCTGGTGGCCTAGTGGTAAGGAGCTGCAACTACAATCCAGAGGCGCACGGTTCGAATCCACCAGATGCTCTGCCAGGGAAGGAGAGACAATCTCCTCCTGTACTAGTCAGATCTGATTTGACGGTACACTCACACAAAAATAATAAAATAAAAATTAAAAAAAAAAAATGGGTCATTCAGCCAGAAAGGGATGAAGTTCTGGTATATGTTCTGTAAAGACCCTACCTTAGCAACATTATGTTAAGTAACGTAGATACTAACAGGCAAATATTATGTGATCCCAAATATGTTAAATATCTAGAACAGACAAATACTTGGAGACAGGGAGCAGTTGTGATACTCCAGGATCCAGGGAAGTAGCAAGCAGGGGAAAGCACAATAGAGCTTAATAGGTACCGAACTTAGGAATGGTGATGATTTCTTAACATTGTGAGTCTGATGACTGTCCAAGGCCTATACAATGGAAAATAATTGAAATTATAATGTTTATATTGTGCTTATTTTAATACAATTAAAAAGAAAGACTTCAATGAAACACTACTTATTCCTAAAACTGAACAAATGACCTTAAAAGTCATGTGGTTTTGTCACAGATCCAAGAATTCAGCAACTTCTTTATGTATGGAGATAGAGCATTAATTTTTCTTCCAGATAACAAACCTCAACAGGTGACACACATACAAGATTAGACAAAAATTAGCGACATAGAATAAGATTAAGAAAAAAATTTCCAAAATGAAGCCTGGAGAGACAAAAAGGCAAGAAGCACATGATTACTTCTAGGACAAAAACTCTTTTAGAATACAGTTTCAAAATAAGTATAAGACAAGAAGTTGGAACCAACTCATAGTTGACTCACTAGCAGGTCTGCTGAGGTTCTAAACTGCACGAGAGGAGATTGCTCACTTTCTCCCAAGGATCGATGGTGTATTCAAACTGCCTTTGGGCTGGCAGCACAGTGCCTTACCCACTGGGATACACATTTTGGGATATGATTTCGTTTTTATCACTTTTTTTTTGGAGGATATTATCTAGTTTCAAATGCTTTCTTCTTGTCAATTTTCATCTACTTTTCAATTTTATTTATTCTAAAAACTTAAGATGACAATGAAGTTAAGGCCAACTGGCCATTTTTATTTCATTAGCAATCAGCTGTGGGCTGGAAGCCTGTTATTTAAGCAATCAGGACCTGGTGGGCAGGTCTTTCTATCTGGTGTTAATTGTGTTTGGTGAGAACATTATTCTAAGCAGTACAGCACTTGGTTTGTCTGTCAGTTTGCTGTACTGAAATGACTTGGGGTTGCTGTGATACTAAAAGATGTGCCACTGTTATGTCAAATGCCATAAGAGTTACCCATTGTGGACAAGTTTTGGTGAGGCTTCCTGATTAAGACAGACTAGGAAGCAGGTTGGGCCATCTAGTTCTTTAATAACAGGTCTTTGAAACTCTGTGAACACTAAAAGAATATGTATAGTTCTACTAGTGTAGTGGTAGAGCCCAGATTGGAAGTCAGCTAAAATGAGGAAAAACAATAATAAGTATCATTTACTCTGGGCATGTTGCTAGGAAGGGCTATTCTTTGGAGAGAGACATGATGCTAAGAAGTATAGAAGGTCAGCGAAGGAGAGGCAGACCCAAAACTAGTTGGGTAGACATGGTGACTTCCATAATGGGTTCTTGCATGTCAGGAAGTTTAAGGATGGTGCAGGATAGGACAGAGTTCAGCTTTTTTGTTCATAGGGTGGCTATGAGTTGTACTCGACTCAACGGCACCCAGCAACAACAGCAACTCCAAAAATAATTAAAATGTTGTTTCTAATGTAGAGCACCGAGAACTATGGTGGCAGAGTCCATCCATAGCCACCAAGCTCATCCACAGGCTGTGCCTCTCTAGGGGTCTAATCTACAGGAGCTCCTCCAGAGAAAGATGGGCAATCTCCTCCCATTTGGTTTTCAGGGCTGGAAACCCAATGGAGAGTCAACTATAAGTCTCAACTTTGTAGCAATAGTATATTACAGAGTACTTGACAGTAGCCTTGAAGGTATTATCTTCATCTTCCAATAAGGAAAATAAATCAGAGAAGTTAACAAACTTGCCCTGCTTCACAAAGACAAGAAGAGATAGAAATGGAAATAAAAGGTTCAGACAGAGCCAACAAAGTTCACTACAAAATTTAAATCATGATAAGAGACTCAAAATCAGATGAGACTTCTATGAGAACAGTAAGTTCCTCAGGACTTTTCTAACAGTTGTTGTTCCTAGAAGCCAGTAGGAAGGTCACTTAGAATAGAAAAGTTAGTGTTCTAGGAGAAGGGACATGAAGTCCCTGATTGTTTACAAACTCTTCATTCCATTTCCTCTTATCTCCTCTTGCACCTTTGATTGCAATACTGTGTGCCTATAATTAAATTTCTAATTCAAAGCCTATTTCTAAAGGCTTGAGGATTTGGCCTTTGTAACTGAGGTGTTTCATCATATCCATAGAATACTAAGCAGGTGCATGGCAACTCTACCAATTCTCTCCATTCTCACATTAAAGATCTTACAATCTACCTGCCAGAGAGATCTGGTAGCCTAGTGATAAAAAGCTGCGCTGCAACCCCTGAAGGCCTGTGGTTCAAATTCACCAGCCACTCTCCTGCAGAAAGATGATCAATCTCTTCCCATGCAATTAACTGCCTCTCAAAACCTGCAGCACGTAACAATCTATGTGCCTGGAGAAATGTGGTCAGGAGTACAAAGAGCCTTACTATAAATCATCATTACAAAAACACAAACTCCAGAATCTAAAAGAGGTTTCTTTCACTACTCCTACCTAAGACCCAAGATGCAACTCTGGAGCATTTTTCTATACTATTCAAAGCAAGTAAGTCATCAGGCAGAATTTAACAATTTATAAAAATACCTGTGTGTCTGAGTGTGCTTCAAAGTGTACAGTTCCCTGTGTGACTTGATCCACTGTGTACATGAGGCGGATATCGTCTTTGTGCAACTCATGGCCTTCCACAACAATGGTCCCTATAAGAAGAAGCAAATGCCACTGTTAATAAATCTGTTCGCCCTCCTGCTCAAGTCACCTCCATCTTAATAACACATTATGACACACTGAATGAAAATTTCACATCATAGCAACTAAGGGTTATTTCCTCCTAACTTAAGCCAAGACACTGAGCATTCTGATTTTCAGAGCAGCATTCTTTAGACTATACTATGTTGCATCAAAGACAGATAAATCATCAACAATGTATATTATTTTAAATAAACTTACAAATCCAAGCACATATCAAAGCAAATAGTTCTAGAGGATAAAGATCAACAAGACATCACAAAGAACAGAACAATTTACTAAGAACAAAGATATGAGGAGCCAAACAAGACTTCTGTCTGAACATCCACCCATGACTGCACCATATAACCCTGGTGCTTTTAACATTAAAATGAGGAAAAAATACCTACTGAGCAGGAGGCAATGTCAAGTGCCAAGCATCATGCTGTTCATGGTAAGCAAAGAGTAAAGACGATGCTGGCAATTCCTTTTTTGTCTTCAGACACTAAGGACACACCTAAGTCTCGTCTGCTGAACTAGGTATTTCATCAGCATGGAACAGTTTAATCAGAAGTTATTGTGTAAAATGTTTTTACTTCAAATAGTGCTTATGCTGCAACATTTTATTAGTTGGTAGAACAAGTTATATTTGTGACATTTTGCTAATTTACTATTTCAATGAGTATTAATAAGGAATCAACTCTTGACTGCTATCCAAAAATATGCTCTCATCTAAAAATATGGAGAATCATAAACATATCTCCCTTAAATTTCCATCATTAGATTACAACCTAAGAGGTCAACTGATTCGTGTATTCTTAAATGGCTTTTGAAAAGACATCAAGATGGGGGGGAGAAAGACATCAAGATGCTTATGACTGTCCAACTTCAGAGGAGGTCCTCGCAATTATCCTGTCCTGTGGAAGGAGCAGGAAGTGAAACAGTGTCAGCTCACAGCTCCTTTGGGCATTCCTGACCATCCTTTCCTGACCACACAATGTGGCTAGCCTCCAGTATGTGTTCTCATACTACCCTACTTTAAAAAATATCCCTTAAAATTGTTGATTTGAGTGAAAGTTTACAAACCAATTTTTTTCCAATCAACTATTTGTATATACTTCATTTTATAAAATATATATAACAGTATTATTTTAAAGACCTCCCTATAATTCTTATTTGTGGTAACTGTTCAATCCAACACCTTTCTGCCTTACTACCTCATACTTCTGCAAGTATGTCTCAAAACCCTGATCAATGATTTCTTCAATGTCTCTGTGTACCATGAAGGAAAGGCCAAGGTCCTTCTTATTCAAAACCCAGTGCCAGCCCACAGAAGGGCCAAAAACATCTGCTGAATGAATACAGCTAATTTTGTTCAAATTTTTCTTAACACAAACAAACAAACAAACAACACAACACAACAAAAATCCCAAGGTACAAATTCCAAATATTTTAGAGAAACTATGCCAACTTCTGGGTCACAGGGAGCTGCAAAAAATGTCACTACTAAATCTTTTCCTCAAAAAAATAACTATATTTTCTACTCAATACTTGCTGTTTTCTGACACTTCCGGAAGAAAATTCATCTTCTTTTCTCCAAGTAACATCTAGCACCAATGCATGCCATTTGGTTTGTCGTGAAGTTTAAGGGCACCTTGACTCCCTCAATATTAGAAATTTTGTAGTCACTGTTTCTCAGCACTAGGATAATTAACATTTGTAGAATTCAATAAGAAATTTCCTAGATTTGATAATTTCTATCTCTGTAAGAATTAAATTCCACCAACATTTTACTTGAATAAATATACACTCAATTTTTTTTCCTGACATTAAAATACTGGGAACATCATAAAGCATGAAAAATAAAAGGCTAGGTAAATACATTACCAGGTATCAACATCAAGAACCAGTATGCAGCTATTAAAATAGCATTTTTTTTCTTTTCAGAAAGATGTTTATCCATACTTGACTATGAAAAGACATTCCCCAACGTAGATACAAAAGCATTTATAAGAGGAATTGCACAAAATGTTTAATATATAAAAAATAAATGGCAAACAAAAAGAAAATAAAACAGATTGACAGATGCACAGATATACACACACCTATAAATACATGAAGGCAAAAAATATGAAGTTAAAACTACAGTGGATCTCAATTTTGTACAACTGTAACTAAATTACATGTAATCAGAGGAAAATATATCAAAATTTTAACAGTGGCCCAGTATTCATATAGCTAAAAAGCACATAAAGTAGGTTTACCCATTTTATGGCAGCAGATGGCTGGTGGGTTAGGATTATTTTCATTTTCTTATCAAATCTTCCTAAATTATGAGAACACATGATGCAGAAATTATAAACTTTTAGATTCAAATAGGGTTTATGCTGTAATGTTTTATTACCTCATGAGAGGACTTAGATTTGGGACATGTAAGGATTCATTGCTGGCTGCTAAGCTTCTATATAAAAGTCCTGGAAAATCACTGCATAATTTCCCCAAATTTCTATAATTCTTTGGTTACAAGGTTTTTTTTAAAAAATTTTTTATTTCTGTTTATGTGCCATCAAATCAGATCTGACTGATATAGCAGGAGATTGTCCCTCCTTCTCCAGTAGAGCATCTGGTGGATGTGAACTGCACACCTCTAGGATTGCAGTGCAGCTTCCTGCCAGTAGGCCACCACCACCAGAGCTCCCCTTGATTACAAGTTTTAAAAAACCTTGTTTTAAGTAAGTCTGTCTGAGAAAGGGTGAGACGAAGTTTCTCCTTGGAGACTAGGATTCTAAAGCTCAATCTCATATGCTTTAGGCATGTGGCCAGGACAGACTGGTCTGTGGAGGACATCATGCTCAAAAGGGTGGAGGGGCAGTACAGGAGAAGACGACCCTAGATGAGATGGATTGATAGAGTAACTGGGGTAATGGGGATTGGTCTGTAGGAATCAGTGAGAATGGCTCAAGAGGGGGCAGGTTTCAGAGATGATGTAATAAGGTGGCTATGAATCACAGGTGACTCCATGGCATAAAACAACAATGATCAGAAAAGAACCAGTTAGGTGTAAACAGGATGTGCTAATAAAACCATCTACATAAGCAGTTAGCAGTGCCCTGCTGCACTAAATACTTACCACTCTTTTGGAAACATTGCAGTTCCTCATCACTCAACTGCTTAATGGAAGTCATTACCGCCTTAAAGGCTCCTTTCAGTCGTCTCCCAAGGATCATGTGATCAGGTTCAGCCCTTAGCCGAATGCCATACTTATCTTTATCTGCAGACAATGTAACTTTCCTAACATTCAATTCCTATAGTTGATAAGTAAGAGAAAATTTTTAAAAATAACAAAAACACTGAAAATCTTTGTGCACAGAAAATCTTGGTACAAAAATATTCACAACAGAATTACTCATAAAAACATGTACGGATAAGCACAATT